GGGGGGGGGGGGAGGCAAGCGGAGATGAGGAGACCAAGGGGGAAGTGAGGGGACAACTGGTTGATTCATCCCCGTAGGGCCAGCCAAGCCCCACAGGCCCTCAGCAATCATGGCCTTGAAACTCGAGGACCCCAGTAATGGGTTCCGGCATGGCAAGGTGGTGGCCTTCATCAATGAGAGCATGGCCAGACACGAAAAAGGCTCTGCGTTCTATCTCGAGAATATATCCTTGTCCTGGGCGGCGGTGGAGGACAAGCTCCGGGTCATTAGAAGATGGTCAGGTGTCCAGCGAGGCCAAAGAGGCCTGTGTATGGGGCAGCCTGGCCCTGGGCGTGCGCTTCGCCCACAGGCAGAGCCACTTACACGGGTACAGGGTGGAGTGGCTGTACACCTTCGCCAAACTGCACAAGTCGGTCGTGCGGGCCTTGGTCTCAGACATGAAGTTACTCAAGGCACAGCAGGACGTGGAGTGCAAGGAGGCGGCCTCCCTGCTGCGGCTAGCCCATGCCAGGCTGGCGGAGGTGCAGAAAGAGCGGGACCTACTGAGGTGGAAGCTGTTGCAGGCAGTTAGATTACTCTGACTTGGTCCCTGGCCCGTCCCGCGACCCGCCCCCAGTCCCGTTTCCCGCTCCCCCGCGCCACCTACCCCACCGCCCCCAGTCCCCTTCGCCGCTTTGCCACCCCACCCCCGCCCCCAGAACAGGTCTCAGATCTGCTCACTTGTCTCCAGGAGTCGGTTGCAAAGGGACGAGGCCTGGCCACTGCCAGTGGGACAGGGGCAGAAGGAGCAGGTGAGGAGGAAGAAGAGGGAGGGGCCACTGCTCCTACAGCCGCTTCTGGAGCCACAGGAGGAGGAGGAAGACAGAAGGATGTGGAAGGGTCAGAAGCTGCAGAGGGAGCAGAGGAGCTGCGTGGAGACCTTATGCAGCTTTTCGGAGTCGGGAACCAGAAAATTTACACCTCTGGTGGGCAGAGGGAGGGAGATCTCAGGTCCGTGGACACAGCCATGCTTTATTTATCTGGGATAGCAAAGTCCAGGCGCACAGCCTCACAGGAACCCCCTCCTGTCCAGCTCCCTGCCTCATACCCATCCTCACACTCATGCCCCTTATTCCCCTTCCCAGACACACCCACGTCCTCCCCACCAGCAGCGCCGTTCACAGCAGGAGCTCCATCTCAGATGTCTCTCCGCTGGGGGCCCTCTGATTCTAGCTTGTGGTCTGATGTGGGGGGCCAGGGAATGGGCCCTCAAGAACCACAAAGAGACAGGAGGGACTCTGATCCCCACCAGCAGGGGAGACCTCCAGTACTTCAAAGGCCAGGGGAGAAAACTTGCTTCCACTATGGGAGGTAAATCTGTCTATAAAACCCTTGAATTAAACAGAATAGAAATGTACCCTGATGGGAAATCAATTTTCAGAGGGAGAAGGAGGGGTGGGGGAGGGCTTGGGAAGAGTGGAAGGAAAGGGTGGGTGGGTGGGTGAATGGGGCAAGGGAGCTGTGAGAGAGGAGGGGAAATGGGGTGGAAGGTAGGGTATGGGGTGGTGGCTGGGGAAGTTGTAGATTGGGCGCTTACGGAGAGAAGAGACCTAGAGAGACAGACGTGTTCTGATGACCCTCTTTGTGTTCCAGAGCACTAGTACTCGACACCCCAGAGCTACTGCCGCTTCTGTGTGTGTCTCTCCCCAACTCTAGCATCTGGTGGACCTGGGCAGACAGTATATAACACTCTTGTCTCTGCTTCCCCCCCAACCCCTGAAACTAGACTGTAGATGACTGGAGCACGAGTGGACATTTGACCCATCCTGAGCCAAACAGATCCTCACACTAGAGAATCTGAACAGAGAGGCAGATTTCATAGCCAGGATGGTGTCGGGCAATGAAGCAGTGGGTCACTGGGGGTCGGGGGCAAGGTCGGGGTCATGGACACCGAGGCCACAGCTGAGGCCTGGCCTTGGCTGTGGGGCAACAGAACCGCGTGCTCTACAAAGGCCCAGTGCCCTTTAGAGAATCACAGTCTGAGGCCCCAGGAAGCAGAGAGACAGAGAAGCAGAGAGGATTTGATCCCGTGACCCCAGACATGCAGAGTGGCATCCCGACCACTTTTCACTTCCTGCAGTTGTGCTGAGTAAAAATCCACTTTACACAGATCCTTTTTTCTTTAAGCTAACTTCACAGGCTTCTTGGTCTGGGCAACCAGATTATTGCCAAGCCAGAAATTTACACCAGAAGAGCAGTTGCAAACCACAAACCATCAAAGAAAATGTTGGAACTGGCAGGGGAGGTGCATCAGGGAGTGATGGGTAGTGGGGATTCCTGCATCCCAAGTCTCCAGGAATGAACTGGACAGGAAGCTCATTCATGTTCTGAGTGAGTTATATCATGAGAAACAGGCCTGGGGTTAACCCCGGGCTTACAACAGGGCCACCTCTAAAGGAATCCTTCAGGGCTGCACACAGAGGACGCCAGCACCAGCTGCAGACAAAGACTACTATCGTTCAGCCCCATGACAGGAGAAGCCTCCCCAGTCTCCAGTGGGGAAGCAGGAGTGGTGGGGGTATGGGGTGGGGAGGGGTACGAGGCAGTGGGATGGAGGGCTTTTCTGTCTTTATATACTTTGGTGTTGTGTAAAGTAAAATAAATGCTCACAAAAATACAAAAAATAAAAGTAAGTGAATTTATAGGCTCAGGTGAGTTTGGAAAGGCTACCTCTTCCTCTGGGGCAGAAGGGAAGGAAAGCAGACGCCGATGTGTGTGGTGAGGAGGTGGGAGGGAAACCAAGCAGGCTCCTGTCTGTGTGTGTATGATGTGGACAGACAAGCAGACAAGTCACCTGAGAGTGAGAGAGGATGTAAGGTCCAGGTGGGGGGTGGGGGCTTCAGAGCATTGGCCCTTGGGGGAATAATTGCGGAGGAGGATGGGTGTGGGGAATGGAGGGAGAGAAAAGGAAACCAAGGGGAAAGACAATGGGAGTCTGGAAGGAAAAGGCAGGGGAGTGGGGTAGGGCCAGGATGGGCATCAGACACAAACTCTTAGATTTTACAGTCCGACACCCACTTGCTACAGCAAAAACAGCACATACAAAAGGAGAAGAGGCAGGAGGGGTTGGCAGGGATCGCTTCCTGACTCCCTACCCCTTCTAGGCTTGTAGCGTATCTTTTCATCAGTTGGGAGTGTAATTTCTAGCAACCCAGTCTTTACCTGCAAATACCTAAGAGTTTAAAGCAAAGTTCAACTTACTTCAGGTCTTTGACTTTACAGTATGGGTTACGCAGTGCTTGGCAGAGCAAGTGTAGTGGAGAGACTGGCAAATTACGCAGCTGGAAGGGCCTAAAAGAGATGAGAAAGCAAAAATAAAATGATTAACAAAATTTTAAGTAAAAGGCTTACTTTGGCTTCTGTTGCCATCTTAGTACTAATTTACAAAAACCTTAGGAGGTATTACCCCATTTTTCAGATAAGGAAATTATGGCACAAAAAGGTAATTTGCCCAAGGTCACATAGGAACAGAATGAAGGTCAGTACTCAGGTCTGTCTGACTCCAAAGCCAAAGCCATGGTACTGTATGACAGGTACCGAGGTAAACACTTTACACACAGAATTTATCTTATCTGGTGCTTAATCCAATGACAGGTATTGTAATCACCATTTTGCAGATGCTTAGAGAGGTGGAGTGACTTGCCCAAGCTATCTGTACACTGTAACTGATTCTTGGTTGTCAGTACTAATAGAAGAATTAACGACAATAATTGAGAACTAGGAAAGTTCAATACGGTTGACCTTTGAACAATATGGGGGTTAGGGGTACCAACACCCCCACAGCTGAAAATCCACGTAAAACTTCACAGTGAGCCCTCCCTATCCCTCCATATCGGAGGTTCTGCATCTGAGGATTCAACCAACCTCAATCCTATAGTACTGTAGTACACATTTATTGAAAAAATCCCCATGTAAGTGGACCTGCGCAGTTCAAATCTTTGTTGTTCAAGGATCAACTGCAGTAAACTCTCAGTCAACACGCTTGGGAAAAGTGGGTGTTTTTGTGGGGGTTTTTTGGGGGGGGTTAAACTTTGAAAAGAATTTAAGCCTTCTGATGAAAGCAATGGGGTTGAAGGATGGGGACTCCATCTAAGGCTGATTTTCTGCAAACCCAAAATGAGCTAGAAGCCCCTTTGTGTTTCCATCAGTGCTTAAAATCTCTCAATGTATATTGTTCATTATTTTACTTTATAATATACAGTTGGATTGAAGCTGTCATGGATTCATGAAGACACTGTAGCCAAAGTGCTTCATAATTCCAAGTCCATGTAACTTCTCATACCCCTTCCCCTCTGTCCCAAAGTCTTGCTGCACCTCCTTTCCCCTCCTCACTTTCCACAAACATACCTATGCCATGCTCAATTCCACCTCTATGCTACTGCCCACTGAGGAACTAACAATTACCAGAGAAAAGACTTGGGTTAACTCACTTCCCAAGTTGAGCCTTCTGCCCACCCCTGTCTCCTTCTCAAGGTCCCCTACCCCTCACGTGGCCCCAGAACTAAATGAGAGGCACTGTCCATATTAACCTGAGTACTGAGAACAGACTTATGACCAGTGGCATTTTCCAGACAGTGCAGGTATAAGTCTTCTTGGCTGCTTTAGTAAGTCAGTAGAGCTGTATTTTGTAGTATACAGAGTGTATACTGTGTAAGTGGTTTACCTAAGCCTCTTTGAACTCCAGCTCTCAACTCTCCATGTAGGTGTGAGTCTAGCAGAAAGAACCCAGGCTTTATAGCTATATACACCGGAGTGCAGCTCTGTCCCTTACCAACCTGGAGCTCTTTGAGGCCTCAGTGATGAAGTATATGTAGAGAAGTGTGAGGACAAATTGAACATTAAGTTTACAACTTTTTCCAGAATAGTCATCAGCACCAAAATAGCAGAGTCTTCAATGATAATCTTAATGATTTATATGCTCATAACTTTTTATAATTATAAAGCACCTTCACAGAGAGACAGTGAAGACTAATGGACACACACACTCACATACACACACTTACAGTGGCTAACACAGTGCCTAGCACATAGTTAAGTTCTCACAAATGTTAGCTTTCCCTCAGTGTCTACCTTGGCCAGTGTTCAATATGTGATAGATACTCAATAAATCCTCATTGTGTTGATTGACATACAATATGGAAAGCAGAGATAATTCAATTTATTTATTGACAGTGCTAGAAATGATTATGTGCCTGACTACTTGAAATAAACAAGAAGGCCTATCATTTCTGTAGGCCAAAACACTGGTGAAAAGACATTAGTATACTCACTGATTAAGTGTCAAGGTTGGTGGCATGAATGCTGAAGCTTGATCTTCCTCCTCAAATCCAAGTAGATGCTGACACTTCAGAGACACTGACAGGTGACTATGACTGCTTTTTACACAGAATGACATAGCCAGAATGTCCATTTTTGTATAGGTAGGTTGAAGCAGTATAATTGACCCTAAATCATCAATTATCCTTTTTGCATATTCTTCTTCCTGAATCTCATACAAACAGTGAAACAAGTCCATTGGCTCAATCTGTAACCTAGAAGATTTATCCTTTATTTCTTTCTCAGTCCACTTCAATAACTCCTCTCGAAGTCCTGGAGAGACTTTTCTCCCAAAAGTAGTTTCCACAGACTTTCCCTTTCCTTTATGTAAGAGGCCAAATAAGAACTGTATTGTTAATGATGAAAATCCTTTTCCATATTGCTGGAATATTTCTTGCCACGTTTTCCCCACTTGATCAAAAAACATCCAGCTGCTGTCATTCTTCAGGGCATAGAACACAGCAGTCAGGAACTCTTGGAAACTGAAGTGAAGAAAAGTATAGACACTGACACCTCCTTCAACCTTTTTCAAAAAGTGATTGAGAAAAGTGCAGTTGGTATCATACACTCCTATCCCATGTCTTCTGAGGTCACTGATTTCAAACAGGACCTGCTGGTTCTGCAGTCCCTCTGCAGCCAAAGAGCAAAGGCCCCACAGGCAACTCTGTCCCTTCCACACCGAGATGCCTGTAAGGGTTTTGAGGCACTTGGAAAAGTAGAACAGATACACATCAGTCATGGTCTGAAGTGATCTCATAAGAGTCCTGTCACCATCTCCCTGTGACTGCAGGACACTGCAGATCATCCAGGAGATGATGGGAAGAGAAGACATAATGTCAAGGCCTTCATTTTCTCGCAGACCATAAAAAACTCTCATTGCAGCATTAGCACCTGAAAACTGACTCAAGAAATATGCTCTCTTTTCAGCATCTGTAAACCACAGGATCTCTGCCTGGGTAGCTTGTTTTAACAGCGAGTGCAGCTTCTTCATGGTTGTAGGCCGGGCAGTTATCAGGAGGGAGGATTCAGGAAACAGTTTTTTCCTCACAAAACTACATAAGAGGGTCTCTACTGGCTTCCTCTCCAGGGGATTGGCACTAAGATCCTCTTCCTGATCACCTACAGGGTACTGAAGCTCAGGAAATCCATCAAGAATGAAAAGAAGCTTCTCTGGATATACAAGAATAACATCCAGGATTGGTCCGTCGATATCTTGAAAAGTGTTAGTGATCAGGTCAGCAGCGCTAAGGTTAGCAAAACGGCTTATTTCTCTGCAGTTTACATAGATGAGATAGTCAAATCTGCCTGGAGTAACCATTCCTGC